CAATACAAAATATTTCGAGCAAATAATTGTGTATAATATAAAAAAAGAATTATCAAAATCTGACATGTATTTTAGATTTTATCAACAAAAGAGTGATGGTATTTTATATTAATATTCATTTTTATAAAATGATAAAAATAAAATATTTTTAATAGTATTGGTTTTAATGTAAATCATAACATTTATTAGTAATTATTATGCTTATTCTTTATTATAATCTGTTTGTTAAATGAAGAAAAAGTATATTTATGAGATATCTCGTTTATAAAATACCATCACTCTTTTGTTGATAAAATCTAAAATACATGTCAGATTTTGATAATTCTTTTTTTATATTATACACAATTATTTGCTCGAAATATTTTGTATTGGGTTCATCTCAATATTTCATACTTGAAATTTGCCCATAGGATTAACATTACGAAAAGTCTGTCTTTGTTGAGCTATAAAATCTATGCTACTGATCAGATTTTAGTAATTCTTTTTTTATTGTGTGCAGAATTTATCCCTTGACAAATTACCCATGGCGACCATCTCTATACTTCTTATAGTTTGACCTGTGATATGACCATTCCGAATGTATGTGTTATTAAGATAACCACGGCGACCAATATTTAAAATCAGCATATCAGCATGTCACGTTTAAATGGGGCTATTGAATGCTTTTTACAAAATTTAATTATGTCGTATGGTTTACGAGATATAACAATTTTGCCGTGGACAAGATATATTTAACGCCTCTTTACATTGAGAGAGATTACAGGAAAAGTTTTTTCCCATTATATAAAAGTCGATATTAAGATTTTGATGCATCAAAATAGTCGACAACAGACACACAAAACCTGCCAAAAGAAAAGTTCCCTTTACAAATTACCCATGGAGACCATCTCTATATTTCTTATAGTTTGACCTGTGATATGACCATTCCGAATGTATATGTTATTAAGATAACCACGTGACCAATATTTAAAATCAGCATATCAGCATGTCACGTTTAAATGGGGCTATTGAATGCTTTTTACAGAATTTAATTATGTCTTATGGTTTACGAGATATAACAATTTTGCCGTGGACAAGATATATTGAACGCCTCTTTACATGTATTTGTGCCAAATTCTTGCCTAATTATGTTACCATGCATAAATTATACAATCATGTTATTTATTATTATAAAACACAGATTTTGATATGACATGGTCGTAATTATTAAGCAAATACAGTACTTGTTTAATTATATTTAATTACATGTACTATATTTCGTTTTATTTTAATATTGAGTCAAATTAAAATCTGATAACTTATTGATCTTATTAAGCAATTACAAATAATAGTACTTTATCAAAACGATTATAATTACCGCCACCAAATAGCACATTATAGTGTGTCAAATGTTGCAACATTTGTATTAAAAAATTTTGAGACAAAACTAATAATAAAATTGGAATTGTCTGTTACACATGAGTTTAAATACAATGAAATATAATAAACGTAACTAAAAAATAAAATTTGATCTAGTCACTTTAACATCACGGATGTACTCTCATTATATGTACTAAACTATAAAGTGAATTATGAATTGCATAAAATATACTTTCATTCCAGATCTTTAGTTATTAATGTGATTTCTTTTATAAAAACAATTATTATTTTCTAATAGATATGCCACAAATAAATTACAATAATTTTATTGTAAGAAATTCTAGATATTTAATTATTGGATTATTTGATAAATAGTTAGCTTGAGCGCCTTCTAGTGTCGCTAGAATTACTAAAATGGTACAGTGCGTTACGATTGCTTAAGGACAATAGGTTTTTTATGAATAAAATTAAAACCACAAATGCTATCATGGTGAAATTTGAATCAAACATAGCTCAAACATTACTACACAAGTAGTGATGACCACCGGTGCCATCGGCACTACCGTTCCTCCAGCGCGCGCTCATTAAATAAAAATAGCGTTACGATTGCTTAGAGACACTTTTTATTAATTAAATAAAAACAAAGAAAAATAATAAAAACAAGTTAATTAGTAATCAATTTTGTTCCCTTTCTTTAAAATCAATTGAAAAACCCTTTCCGGCATTGAGTTAATCAAAGTTTGGATATAGTTTTGCGGCATTTCTTCCCAAACCTTTTGAATGGCATCTTTGAGCTCATTAATCGACATGTATTGCCGCCCATTAGGGTATACTTTGCGAGCCATCCATCCCCACACGTTCTCAATGATATTAGCTTCGGGTGTGAGTGCCGGCCAATCCAATTGCTTGATGTTATTGGCCCTCAAGAACGCCTGAACCACGTGTGATCTGTGCACAGATGAGTTGTCCTGTTGCAAAACCCAATCGTTTCCAGCGATTTGTGTGCCAAATGGTAGCATAAATTGCTCCAAAATCTGTTTATAATAATTACCATTTAAATTACTGTCCAGAGTCACAAGAAGTGTCTTTGAATTGAATCCAACGCCGGCCCAAACCATGACACTTCCACCTCCAGCTACACGTTTGGAGTAGTAATCCTTTTCTTTGCGTAAATCATGCCAGTAGTGTTTGAAGCCGTCCGGTCCGTCCAGATTGAACTTCTTTTCATCGGTAAACACAATATTTTGCCACTCAGTGGTCCAACTCATGTGATCACGTGCCCATTGAAGCCGGCGTTCAATGTGCTGCTCTTTGAGAGCAGGTCTGGCCAATAGTTTGCCGAATTTGACGTCCGGAGATTTGTTGCACACACGCCAGATGGTGGTCTTAGACACTGACAGATTGTTGATCGCTTTTACTCCATTCAAAGACATCGATGGCTTAGTTATATCCTTTAAAACTATTCGTTGTTCGCGTTCTGTGAGCGCAGGCTTTCGTCCGCCGCTATGATTCTGGCCATACGTGTT